AAAAAGAAACAATGAACAGGACATTTTTTACCATGGGTATATATATATATATATATATATATTCGGTTAAAAAACACAGGAAAGTCAATGCTACGGAAGTGAACAGAAAGAAACTCCACAAGCGACATAGTATCTGTTTTACATTTTTAAAGATAACTAAAACAAGTATTAATAGTCATTTCTTAAGGTTTAAATAACCTGGACAGATCAGACCTCTTGTTTCTAATTTTGTGATGCCCATATTTTGACCAATTCTATAATCTTCGACAAAAGTACAGAATAAAACAAACAATAACAAAAATATATACCTTTTACTTCTGGCTGGAAGACTCCCAGGGAAAAGGAAAAGCAATGGATAATGCTGATGCCAAAGCAGTAAGAACGACATGCAGATGTGGCCTGGCCTAGAACAAGTGTTAAGCTTGGAAGAAGCTGATACCCAGAGCAATCTGCCTATAGGGAATCTCAGCAATAACGCCCTGTACCAAGATAAGCAGACCCTATTCATTCGCTGTAATGGAACTACTTAGGATCTGTGGTAAGCAATCGCCAGCTCACTGGTTACATAAGCTTAAACAATTTACCTACTTAAATTCTGGAAATGAGACTAACAGGCATGAAATGCAGAATACTGAATAATATCAAATAACTATAATGAAAGGACAATTAGTGTCCCAGATATTCGAAAAAGAAAGAACCCATTTTGAATTAAGAGGAAATCTTTATTGAGGAGGTTGGTCTTGAACTCAGGATAAAAAATTTGGAATGGTAAAAGACTATGGTGGGCATTTTTCTAGGTGGGGGAGATATTAACATTGCACAGGAGATTCTAGCTCATGCAAACAGGAAAGAAAAAGGGAAAAAATGCATATATATTGGAAACTAAAAGTAAAAGTACCTTGGCAGAAAACATGGTCCTATATGTAGCAAATCCTAAGAAACACACAAACACACACATTATTAGAACTAATAAATGTTGTTAGTAAGGTCCCAGGATACAAACTCAGTACATACAAATCAACTTTATTTCTATATGCTAGCAACAGAAAATCTGAAAATGAAATTAAATATTCCACTGACAATAGGAAGAAACTTAACAAAAACGTACAAGACATGTACAAAACAGTATAAAACATTGTTGAGAGAAATTAAGTAAGATTTGAATAAATAAAGATACAATTCATATTCGTGAATTGAATCTATAGTTTCAACACAATCCCTACAAAAATCCCATGAGTTTTTAGCAGAAATTCACAAGCAGATCCTAAAATGAATATGAATATGCAAAGGACTCAAAGTAGCCAAAACAATTTTTAAAAGGAAAAACATATGGTGAAGGACATATACCTTCCAATTTCAAAACTTACTAAAAGCTACAGTAACCAAGACAGTGGATACTTGTGTAAAGGTAAACTTAGAAATCTGTGAAATAGGATTAAAAGTCCAGGAATAAATATTTATATTTATAATCAATTAATTTTCAACAGAAGTGCCAAGGCAATCTAATGAAGAAAGGATAAGTCTTTTCAACAAATGACGCTGGGACAAATTGGATATCCATGTACAAAAAGATAAATTTAGACCCTTACTTCACCCTACACAAGTATTAACTCAAAATGGATCATACACTTAAATGTAAAAGCCAAAACCATAAATTATAGCTTCTAAAAGAAAACGTAGGAGAAAAGCTTCAACATCTGGGGTTAGGCAAAGGGTTCTTAGATATACCACCAAAAGTACAATCTATAAAAGGAAAAAAATGATATGTTGGATTGCTTCCAAACATACTATTAACAATAGGGAAAGTCAAGCCACCAACTGGGAGAAAATATTTGCAAATCATATATCTGATAAGGGACTCGTATCTAGAATATATATAAATTTTAAAAAACCTCTCACAGTTTAATGATAAAAAAGACAGATGACTCAATTTGAGGATCTGAATAGATATTTCCCCATAGAAGATATACAAATGGCCAATAAGCACATGAAAGGATCTCAACTTCATTAGCCATCTGAGAAATGCAAATGAAAACCACAATGAGATATCACTTCATACCTTCTAGGAGGGCTACCACCAGGAAGATAGAAAATAACAAGTGTTTGCAAAGATGTGTAGAAATTGGAGCCCTCATACACTGGTAGTAGAAGGTAAATGGTGTAGACATTTTGAAAAACAATCTCACAGATAATCAAAAGGTTAAACACAGAGTTGCCACATGGTCCAGCAATTGTACTGTGGGGCATACACCTAGGAGAACTGAAAACATATGTCCACGCAAAAACTTATTTATGAGTGTTCAAAGCAGAATTTTTGGTAAAAAAACAGCACAGCCAAGAAGTGGAAACAATTCAAATATCCATCAACTGTTGAATGGATAAAGAAAATGTGATATATTCATACAATGAAATACTCTTTAGCAATAAAAAAAGAACAAACCACTCTTACAGGTTACAACCTGGTCGAACCTCAAAAACATTATGCTAGATGAAAGAAGCAGGCACAAAATACTACAAAATGTATGATTCCATTTGTGAGAAATGTCTGGAAAAGGCAAATGTATAGAGACAGAAAACAGCTTAGATGGTGCATGGGGCTGAGAGTGGGAATTGGGTTGATCAAAATGGGCATAAGATATCTTTTTTGGGAGATAGAAATGTTCTAAAACTGAATGGTGGTGAGAGTTTCACAACTGAAAATTTACTAAACATCTGTGAACTGAAGTCTTAAAATGGATTATTTTCATGGGTGAAAATTATACCTCAATAAGTCTTTTTAAAATAAGTGTATGCTGATCTCTCTCTTCAGACTATTTTTCTCCCACTTACCTACTTGAAAACTCCACTTATTCTTCAAAGTTTATCTCATCTGTGAAGCCTTCTTCAGTATTCCCCCGAAGTAGAATTAGTCCCTACTTTTCTTTTCCCCACTTCTCCACCTTGACATATCATGATTATAGCCCTAATCACATTGTGATACAATTATTTCTCTCCCTTGCTAGGCTACATGCTCCTTAGGGAAAGAGAGTAATGTGCCTGACATACATTAAGCCCCCAATAAGTGGTTAATAAATGAATAAATGAGTGTTCAAGACATAGTCAATTCAACTTAACTAACAAAAATTATTGAATACCAACTCTGTACAAAATACTTTAGGAAGGAAGAATATAGATGTTTAGCAGAAATTACATGATAGATAATAGTTCCATTTTTTTGAGTACTTATTATATGCAAGCCCATTATCTTGTTTAATTCTACTAGCCACTTCTCCATTTCACAGATGAGAAAATTAGGCTTAGAAAAGCCCCAGTCACGTAGCTAGTATGTTACCCAAACCAGTGTTATGGTCACTCTGCTATATAAAAGTGAAAAAACAGTGCTTTCCTTTAAGGTTTCTTTATGTGTTGTCTTTATTAGGACATATTTCAAATGTTATATTTCAATGGTCTGAATGTATCTAGATAAATTTTTTTTTGGTTTTTGGCTGTTTTCTGTGCTTCTAGTAATTCTGTGACTTGTTAAAATATCTATACTGTGTCAAGACATACAGAAAATAATGACCACATTTTATGGGCTTATTCTACTCTTTTCATTGAAATCCTAACTTCTTCATGGTCTTAATTATAAACATTTTCCTAGTAAAGGACAAAAAGGTGAAATAGTATCATCCTAACACCTATTAATTTCTAATCCCACTTACTATGGGAACAAATTTTTTTTCTTACTGGAAATAAACATGTTTATCACACCACAAAAAGTAACTTTTTCTAGTTTGTAATCACTTTGATTTTTCAAAAAATAGGTGCTATCTACCTAAGGCAGCTATCGCATGAATAATTCAGCTGACTGAGAATCTATTTGCCTAAAGGTTTTAAGTCATGTTTATTCTATCTCAAAAATTAGAGATTTGACACCAACATTTTCTGAAAGAACTCTTGAGGAGGGGGAGCATGTCAATGATTAGTCAAGAAGGATGAAATATTAAAAATAAATTATAAAGTAAAAATGAAATTTTAAAAATAAAAACAAAAAAAATAAAGTTACTGGACTCATACCTCAAGCCCACCTGGATTATTCCTGCCTCTAGGAGCTCCCTCAGTCTAGACCCTTGGAACCCAAGTACGGCCTACAGACCAGCAGCAACAGCATTACCTGGGAGCTCATCAGAAATGTCAAATCTCAGATCACATCCCCAATTTACTGAGTCAAAATCTGTAATTTCACAAGATTTTCAGAGATGTTTCTGCACCTTAGTTTGGAAGCACTGCTCAATATCGTGCACCTTTTGGCAACTCTTGTGTGGCTCCCTCCTCATCCATCATTCCCATCTTGAACATCACCTATCTCACCACATTCGTTCACAATCCCACCAGCCCAAGTTATTTCCTAATCCTAATTTTACTCCCTAAGTTACTTCCCTTCTCCTCATCTCCCTCATTTCCCCCCACCTCTCTTCCTCTGACTTTCTTCCTTTACTGGTTTATTGTCCCTCTACTGCAAGGTAAGCTCCATGAGAACAGGGACTAAGTTCATCTTGGACACTGCTTTAACACCTTCCTCTAGAGTAGTGCCTGGACCATACATAGTAGGTGCTCAACAGATCTGTGATGAATAAATGAATGATTCTATTAAGAGAATACACCTTGTTTTTAGGCTATATAAGTATTAAAAACCTTACTTGTCCACATCTGTTTAACCAATATGTCATTTCCTGCAATTTCCTAATCAATACTAATGACTCATTGCCTTAGAGTATTTACACACCTACATTTCATGGTTAATATTTTAATGGGCAAAAATGTGTACATGAAATCAATTTCCAGAGCCCTACATAAAATGTCAAAAGAGGTATCTAAATACAAGCATAACTATAAAGTAATAAATTAATTTCTCCAAGTCACACAAGAAAATCAGTCTTATTATTTCAATAGCACAGTGTTACCAAAATAGCAAACTTGAAGGCAATTAACTTATAATTTCTAATAAAACAGGCTATTACCTTAAGTGTTAATGATGATGCTGATGTTTTCCCCTTTGGCTTCTTCAGATAAAAATATAATAAGGCCATTTCTAGGTAGGAATCTCTTATCAACCTAAAATGATATTACATTGTACTTATTAAATAGCTTCACCACTCATAATAATTTGCACCATTTTTCAACAATTTCTGAGCTGATGAGGAGGAGGGAAAGCAAGATGGTAGACCAGAGGTGCCCAGGGATCATTCCTCCCACAAAAAAGGACCAGAACAGCTAACAGATAACTAAATATTGATGGGAGATCATAGGAGTGCAGCAGAGACTGGTGAGACCCCTGTGGAGAATGAAAGCTCAGCATGGCAGCATAGAGAGGAGAGAGAGGCACATGGCTTCAGCTGCCACTTCAGCACTGGATGAATTTTCCCTTGCCACAGAAAGATAGGCAGAGGACCCACACAACCCCCATCCTAACCACAGAGGCCAGTAGATCCTTTGGTAGGATAAGCCTGGAGTCAAGTGTGGAGAGCAGCCTAGAATACACACACTGCATCACGCTAGAACAGTAGCACAAACTGTGCACTACCCCCACTCTTCTGACCCAACCCAATCCAGGACAGCACCATCTTGAAACCAGAGCCCTTGCTGGGAGCATGCCTTGCCATGGAACCAGTAGCCACAGGGCTTCCCCAGCCTTAAGGCTCAGAATTAATTTGGCCCGCACTGGTGCTAGTGACCAGAGTGCATATCCACACAAATCCCTTCTAGATACAATTTCACATCCAGGGGGAGGATATTATGGTTTAGAAGTCAGTAATTCAGGGGAGGCCCCAGCATTCCTAGGACTGACAGAAGATCTGGGTACAGGCCAGAAACAATTTACAGTTCAGTTTGCCACGGTGATAATGGCGATCATCTACCATTACCGTGAAAGATCCTTGGGTCAGAGCCATAAGCAACAATCTTGAAAAGAAAGTCAGTAAACCTGTTGGACAGATGGACTCCAGTGAACTAGCCATGCCATAAAGAGGCCTTCCAATCATTCCAGCCTCAAACATTCCATGTACTACTGGAACACAGGGCTGACACCAAGCACACACTTTGCTACAACAAGGGGAGAATATATCTTTACCCTGAGTTTTGATCATTTCTTAAGCTTAGTTGTATAGCTTCAAGCAAACTATCAAGTGGTACACTTGGAGATTTCTCTTCCATTAGTATTTGACGTTCTATTTTGCCTGAAAGAAGAAAAAGATACACAAAGATGGTTTTTCCTTATTCTATCATTTAGAACTTAAAAACAAATATTTCATGCTGGAAACTCAGAAAACTGGATGTGCTGTCCTTTTGTCTGTCTGTCCTCCTATCTGTGGCTTCTTGCTAGAAGGTAAGCCAGTGGTGAAGATATATTGCCTTCTTCTCGGGAATCTCAGGCTTTCCCTGTCTTCAGTTAGCCTTAGTCAAGGCTCCTGTGGCTTTCCCAACATAACTGGTCTTAGCATCTTACTTTCTATTTCCTTCACTTTGTGCATCCTTCTCTTCCTGTATCTCTCATCCCTTTTTCTACATCCATTTTCCTCTTTCCCCTGTCTACTTCATGGATATCATAGAGAACATCTATACTCCCATGTTCATTGCAGCATTATTGATAATAGCCAAGATATGGAACCAACCTAAGTGTCTACCAACGGATGACTGGACAAAGAAAATGTGATACTTATGCTCAGTGGAATACTATTCAGCCTTAAAAAAGAAAACATTCTGTCATTGGCAAAAACATGGATGAACCCAGACAGCAAAATGCTCGGTGAAATAAGCCAGTCACAGAAAAGAAATACTGTATGATCTCATTTATACGTGGAACCTAAAAAAGTAGAAATCATAGAAGTAGAGAATTAAATATTAGTTGCCAGGGACGTGTGGAGAGTGGGGGATTGGAGAAATGGGAAGATGCAGGTCAAAGGGTATAAAGCTTCAGTTAGACAGGACAGGAGGAATAAGTTCTGGAGCACTATTATAAAGCATGGTGACTATGATTAATAATAATATATTGTATACCTGGAAATTACTGAGCATATTTTAAATACTCTCATCACAAAAAAATGATAAGTATGCAAGATGATGGATATGTTAATTAGCTTGATTTAATCATTCCACAATGTATACATATACCAAAACATCACATTGTTCCCCATAGATATATATAATTTTATGTCAATTAAAAATGTTTTAGCTTTAATTTTAAAAAATCAAAAATAAATGAAAAGAGAAAAATAAAAAAAATTAAAACTCACAAACTTAAGGAAAAACAAAACAAATCCTAAAAATTCAGCAAATGCTTGAAATACTCTCAATAGTGATGCAAATTCTCTAGCCCTCACACAGCTCCCAGGCCTCATGGTGAGCCACAGCCTTCAAACATAGGCACTAGGAGAGCACCTCTGTAACAAAAAGGGCAGGAAAAGGAAATCTCATAATCACTATAAAAAGGATTCACAGTATGTATGAAGCATATGGAAAAGGGCACAGAGCTGGCCACTGTTGAGTTCACATCTGGGCAGTATCATTTAGTAACTGCTGACTCTGGGAAAGTTACTTAACCAGATTGCACCTCATTATCCTCATTTGTCAACCCAGATTAGTCCTGCCTCCCTTGTAGAGCTTTTATAAGACTTAGCGACATGAGATGTAAATCATTGACTACAGTGCCTAGCATCTAATAGATGCTCAGTAAATGACAACAGTCATCATCGTCTTAGTTTTCCTCATGGCTAAAATGGCCACAATATAATCATATGAAAGTATTATGTAAATAGGTATTACATAAGTTATAAGTATAAGCATATTATAGCTATTTTATGTCAATGAGTATGTATCTCTTATAGAAATTAACCAAAATGTTTAGCTAAGTAATGAAATGATGCAGAAAAAATATCTCCCAGGCATTATTTAAGTAACATTACTTATAGTTAAGTGGCTGAATGATGACATTTTTCAGCCAAACACGATACTTTGTATAAAGAGGGTTAATTCTAATTATAAAAGAAACTAAGTGGTAGTACTTTTTTTCTTTCTGATATAAACTTAAAACAGTGTTCTTCTACCTAAAACCAAGTTTGGTAGAGGTACCAATGTGTTTGTCATCACCAAGCCCTTTGTAAAATCGGTAATTTTTATAGTCAGTGATGAGATTTTTAAGAAGCCTGTTGTTAATAGCAAAAACTTCCACAAACGTTATCACAGTCCCAATCCTAAATACATTTTACCTTTCTGAAAAAAGATTTCAGCTTCGACCTCACGTTCCTCTACTGCTGTAATCTTGCACAGTTTCAATGCCACTTCAAAAAGATGAAGAGCAGGTAACCACTTTGAGGGATCCTTTTTTCTATTGTTATAATATATTTGCTTGGCCATTGTATGCCCTAAAAGAAAAACAGTTGGGTGGGAGGACAACAATAAAATACTAGTGTTTATAACAAGTCTCTAAGTTACCAGACTTTCCCATAGTAATGGTATCTATTAAGATCTATTGTGATCTTTACAGTTTTTAGCATCCAAGAAATGTTTCAAAGAAATACAATATCTGATATTTAAATGAACCACAATAACCCTTTGAACTTTATCTGTGATAAATTTCCACCATGCTTTCTTATTTTTAAAATGAAGGACAATCTCCCAAGTCTCTTCCAGTTCTAAAATTTCATGATGCTCTACAAAACACCTTCCATGTTCCTAAGATGCGGTTATTAGTAGAGAGACATCTGGAAGTTTTATGTTGTTCCCAGTGAAGACTGGATATATTAATAAGCAGTAATTTTCTTTCTGTTAAACATTATACTGCTTGCTTGCTATGCATTTTTTTTTTTTTTTTTTTTGGTCATCCCAACTAGTTAGCAAACCCATTATGGACAAGGGCCACATGCTACATACTTCTTATATGGTCCCAGCATCACTTAACATAATCAAGGACTGCTGTGTGGAAGAAGTATTAGGTTTACTCTGTATGGCCTCACAGACAGACAGACAGACAGACATTTACTCAACAAATATTTTCTCAGGGCTTAGGCACTGGATACAAATGAAAAAAGAATAGTAAGAGCTAAGATTTATTAAATGCTTCCTACATGCCAGGCACCATCTCAAGTATTTAATATGACTTATTCATATGAGCCTCACAGTTCTGAGTGGGACCATTATTATGCTCATTTGACAGAGGACAAAGCAGTGGCTCAGTGAGGTTTAAGTAGCTTACCCAAGGTCACATGGCTAGTAAATAGCAGGGCCATAATTTGGACCTAGGCAGTCTGGCTCCAGGGGCCAAACCCTGAACTACAACGTTGTATTACCTCTTGAAAGCGAGGCCATGGAGCTTAGTGTTTAATGGAGTATATGAACGCCCACACAGGCCATCAAAATAGTGTGGCCAACTGTGCAGCAGGGAAAGCACAGGCACTGTGGTAGCAGGTTACAGGAGCCCTGGCCCAGATCTGGGAAAGGGCAGGGAAATCTTCCAAGAGGACCTGGCTGTCTACATTGAAAGCTAATGATTGTCTTGCCTTTGCTAATTTTTTTTTTCTTTTTTTTTGTGACCAGTAAGGGGATCGCAACCCTTGGCTTAGTGTTGCCCGCACCTTGCTCAGCCAGTGAGCACACCGGCCATCCCTATATAGGATCCGAAACCGCGGGGGGGGGGGGGGGGGGGGG